GGTCTTATCTACCCAATCCTGGAGGACGTACTGGGTGGGCATTGATACCGTACAAGGCCAGACTCTACAAACCTCTGTTGGAGAATTCCGCCATGGGTACGGGCCATTAAAGTCACTGCCGAGAGGCAATGCCAACGGGAAGCTGTTCAGTTTACCTCCACCACAGGGCGGTACTGGTTACGCAAGGACACAAGGAAATAGGGGACACTATCCAAGAGCTCCACCGTGTGGTCATTTTGTGCCTTGCACACAGTGCCCTCCGCAGTCTGGTGTGACCTATAAAAAAGCCAGAAGGCTCCTGGAGAGAGTGACAGTGGACTACAGAGAGCTGAGTGAGGTAGTGCCTCCTATTCACGCAGCTGTGCCTAACATTGTCACTAAATTAGATACTTTGCTACAGTCTCAGGGATACGTCACGCTGTATTGGACCTGGCCAGTGCTTGCTTTAGCACACGCCTGGCTGTTGAGTCTCAAGATTAATTTGCCTTTACCTGGGAGAGACAACGACAGGCCTTCCAGGTGCTCCCCCAAGGTCACTTACATAGTCTCACTATATGTCATGGCATGGTGGCTTGTTACCATTTTCTTTCCTGACTCCTGTCAAATGGGCCCATTACACTGATGACATAATATTAACATGTGAAGATTTTCCTCTGTTGCAGAAAAGCTTGCGGGCTTTGCTGGTCCACCTACAACAGAGAGGATGGGCAGTGAATCCACAGAAAATTCAAGGTCCACCACAGTAAAGTTTTTGGAAGTAGTACAGTCGGGTGAGACCCACGTTGTTCCTGATGCGGCCATAGACAACATAGAAGCCTACCCCGTACCAAAAAATGTGAAAGAGGTACAGGATTTGCCGCGGGGTTGGGGGTATATCGGTGAACATTTATACCCCATTTAGCACAATGCCTTGGCCCACTGTATTGCTCAGTTAGAAGAGGACATACGTGGGACTGGGGATCAGAACAGCAGGCTGCTCTCAAGAAAGCCAAATACTGGTCAAACGATTTAACTCTCGGTGTCTCCCAGGCAGGGGTGCCGTTTGAGGTAGGTATTTCAGTGCCTTGGAAGGCATGGGCTGGTCATTGTGGGGAGAGTTCTCGTCCCTTGGAAAGCAGCGGTGATGGAAACAGCAGCTTCTGGCAGTGAGCTAATACTCCTGCAGGTGGAGACTTTGCAAAGAACAGCCAGTTACCATAAGGACTTGTTTCCCATCGCGGGGTGGATGGACAGGTTCCAGTGACCTGCCTCTGCCATGGCCCAGACTCCCACGCTAAGTGGCATGCCTACCTGCAGCAAAGAAGGGCTCTGTCAACTAGTCTTTAGAGATGCAGCAATTATTAGGCCCTGTCGAATACCCTCTAAACGGCCCTGCTCTTATCCCTGTGTCTGCCCCTTCGACCTACCAAGGGAGAAAAGGGGACCTTCCGACTGGAACCTGGTACACCGATGTCTCTAGCCAGAGCGATCCATCTACCTGGACGACCACTGCCATCCATCCGCGGTCCACTGATACTACCTGGATGGAAACAGGAACAAACCCAGCAGCCCGTGGGCTGAATTAAGAGCTGTCTGGTTGGTAATCGTGCCGTGATCCTGTGTATTGACAGCTAGGCCATTTTAAAGGGCTGACTTTATGGCTTGGACAATGGGACATGGAGGAGTGGATGATTATGAACAAACCTTTCTTGGGGGTGGGGGTAAGAGATATAGAAAGATATTTGGGCTCACTTACAAGAGTCCCAGGCAGATCTCATTGTCTTCTATGTTCCTCCCTGTAGGACGTCTGCACCTCCAGGTAATCAGGAAGCAGATGCCTTTAGAAACTGACCCATCAGTGAACACTGTCAATTGGGTGCATCGGAAAAGTGGGCACCACAGTGCCTGAGTAGGATGGCGCATTGCCAGGGAGGCAGGGCTGCCTTTAAAATACAGTGACCTGGTTAATGTAGTGCATCCTATTCTGTCTGTCCCAAACTATGCCCTAGGCAACTGCCATGGGAATCCAGGGCCATCCACTGAGACCCCAACTGGTAAGGGACTGCAAATCGACCACACAGGCCCCCTCCCCTTGAGTGAGGGCTCCAAATATGCTCTAGTGTGTGTCAATAGCACCTCTGGGTTAACTCAAGCCTTCCCACGCTGGTGAGCTAATCGAACTGTTACCATAAAGGGACTAGAAAAATTAAGCACTGTGTCCGGGCACCCCAACGAATGGACAGCAACGGGGCTCGCACTTCAAAAGACATAATGTTTGGGAATGGGCACAAGAACACGATGTCCAATGGTGGTTCCGTCTCCCACATAACCCACAGGCAGCTGGATTGGTAAAACAAGCAAACAAAATAACTGTGTCCTTAAACAACACATAGTTACTAACGGAAAACTACATTGGCCAGATGGACAAAGTGCTTCCTGGGCATTAATCCAGTAAGTGACCAATCCATGGGGACTATCACCCCATATGCCAGAGAAAGAGCTCAGGCTAAGGCACCCAAAATGGGAAAGGTGTGGGAGACAAAGGACACAGCAATAGCCTCAACACTTGTCATGGATCAGGGGGCCATGATGATGAGGGCACCGAGCCCGATTGTGCCTGGAAAGGTGACCATATACCAGAACCTGCAATGGGACAATCCGCCAGGAAGGGTCAATTACTTCATGCCCCTGGGTGGGGAGGAACTGCTCAGCTTCAGGTGGAATCATGTTATTTTAATGCAGTCAGCACCTGTGGGATGCATACCATTGAAAAAGTGGGAGAAAGTGGGGTCCTAGTCTGGCATATTCCCCTCTGACTCATCTCCTTACAGCTGAGAACACCCACCCTCCGCCCCCACAGCCAACATGTTCTGTTTGCACAGTCTGGCCAGGTTTCAAAGCTGTGGCCACATTAACATCTAAAGATCAGGCTATGAGTGTGAACTCAGATGGAGGAAGTCTCCCAGTCTAAGCCCTTACTAAATGTCTTTGCGACCTTAGACTTCTGCAGCTCCTGTGGCAGCCAGTTACGGGCTGGGCACTGATGGACACGCCTTCTTACAGTGGGCCCCTACGAATACTGGAATTGTTCCTAGTGATTCGTCTTTTTTCTTGCTTGTGCCCGTGTTGTGGCTCTGGATTGTGTCTCCAGTGCAGTCACTTGGCGACTAAGTGAGCTGCCTCCCTGCTATTGATGCCCCTCGCTCAGGGCACCTTGAGGAAGAAGGCACATGAGATCGTAAGAGCCGGTCACCAGCGGTAGAGTCCGTGACATGGCTGGACGGGGCCAG